CCCGCAGGGGGTGATTTCTCACTTTCTCTCTCTTGTCTCTCTCTGGCAAGTGCATGCACTCTACAGCAAACTAAATATTTAAATAATAATAATAATAATAATAATACATCATATTAAAGTAATTCAATGATTTACAGAAAGAGGTGAAAAAGGAACCTATTTAGAGCTATATGAGTATGATGAATATGTACATTATAAATCACAAAGAAAACTGTCAGAAACATATGGAATGGGTTGCCCTAATTAAAACAGATGAGGGGTTGCTGCTGAACATATAAGACTTTCATGGGAGGACAATGGAGTGGTTATAAAACAGACATGGGCACCCAGGTATCATCATGATTTTTCTGTATCAGGAGAACGAGTAAGGCAGTATTAATTAAGACTACTGTTCTTAAACGAGACCTTACATATCTATCTCGGGAAATAATGGGAACATCTGTAAATTACCTACTTAAGATCCCTTTATACTTGTTGAATTTTATGCCTCCATTCACAGATACAGGAAAATTTTCTTCTATCAAATCTCAAAGCAAATAAAAGCTACAACTGAGTTTTACCAAAGACCCAGAATGTCTACTTTAGGAAAAGTAACAAAAGGTTCACAAGACCCTTTTCCCTTGTTACAATGACCCACTAGTCACTAAGTCAGAAAAGAGGTCTTCTAACTGTTTTGTTATTGGTCCACAAAAGGTAAGTACGGACATTGAGAGTAAACATTCAGAAATTTTTATAAGCAATTTGACATTGGTTAGTCGGCTGTAATGCAACTGTAAATCAGTCTGAGAAGAGGTAAGCATTTATTTTCATAATTTGTCATCTCGCAATCATTTAAATTTAACCAAGCCTATGATTTATCATTTAATAGCTTTCACTAAACAGAGGTAAATAGGTATTTTAACTCTAATTTACAGATAGCAAAAAGCTTAACTACCTTTCTTTGGGGAAAAAAAAAGATACAACTTATCTGAATGAGGCAGCAGTTGTAAACCAAACAATAACAGAGGAAGTGATTTCAAAGAAATGAAAGTCAAGGAGTTCATATAATTTTATGTGAAGGTATGATTGACAGTGAAGTGCTGAAACCAATGTGTTATTCCCAGAAATATACTGGCTAGGAAACACTAAAGCCATCAAAACCTAAGAAGCATTTATATGAAAGGGTAAAGAGGTTCAAAACAAAGCAAAAAAGATTTATTTGAAACAAGGAATATTTCATTACAAAGCCAATAAAGGCAGATGTTCATTATTTCCTATATAAATACTAGTGTTTCCAAGGCTTTGTACGTAGTCCTTCAGGTGATAAAATTAAAAGAAACACACACACACACACACATTTCTGAGTCTATAAACTGAGTGTTAAAACACAGGGACAGTTTACATACACATTAATTCTTGTGCATAGCACTGCCATCAATCCAACCTAGATTAGATAAGTTAATATTAAGAAGCAAATTTATGACACGGTAAAAATTTTAAACACTCACACAGACAGTGTTTGTTTAGAGTATGTTATAAGCATTTTCTTTTTAATTTAACAGAGGCATGTGCACTTGTAGGGGTAGGGGAGGACGGGGGGAGGGAGAGAGACTGGGGTGAGGGGAGAGAGAGAACATGAGAAAGCGGCTCCCATAGGGAATGCCCATGCAGCAATCCCTCCTCCTCTCTCTCTCTCTCCTGTTGGGATTCTGGGTGCACGCACGCATGCACACACACACACACACACACACACACCTAGTGTATTTCTCAAGCCACTGGGTCTGGGACTTGAACCAGGCAACTGGCCATGTGGGATCCAGCTATGTTAACCACTAGACCATGAGCTGGCTATATTATCCTCATAATAAAGACAAATGAATAAAGACTTTATTTTGCAGCAACTGCTTCTTTCAGATTATATAAATCCTAGAATACATGCCCTCCTTTATCACTCTAAAGCTTACTATACACATTATCAAATAAAACTATCCATGCATACTATTTTTTCCATCCATCTTTTTGTTTTAGTTTGCCACAGGGTGCTTGCATTCGCCAGAAAAAAAAGAGAAAGAGT